GTAAAACCTCTTAGTAAAGAAAAACTCCAAGCAAAGGCTGACCAATAGTCAAATTTTGCCCCTTCTCCATCCTTGCTAAAAAGCAAAAGAACATCTCTCCCTCACTCAAGTTTACCAAGCTGGCAGCTTTGCAGAAGGTTACTGACAACCTTGAGGCTTATCACCAGCTGCACTGAGCTGCTGTATTAGTCAGGAGCTTATAATAAAATCATTTCTGTAATAGTATCAATAGCACTGATAGTATTGGCCATGCTGACCAAGGCAAGATTCTGTTTTGTCTATGGTCCTGTGACTCAAGGCTATGTTTTTGCTATGTTTTACTTCTGTAACTTTGCTTACTTGCCTCGGTAACAGGGCTTTAAGCCCATCAATTGAAGACCACCACCGAATGGTCCCAATATGAGTGACCTATTGTGAATTATGTATGATGTTTACCATCAAGAACAAATGAATTTAACTATAACTATATAATTATATAGCTATAACCAATGAAAATGTGCCAAACCTGCCTTGCATGGCCTGTCTGTGTAACTCTATGTTACCTATCCCTATAAAAACCCATCCTATCCTGAGCTCAAGGCCATTCTCCTACTTTCCGGGTGGTAGGAAGTGGTCCCTGTGCAGTGGTAATAAAGTTCCTAGCTCCTAGCCGGGCGCTGGTGGCTCGCGCCTATAATCCTAGCTACTCAGGAGGTTGAGATCTGAGGATCATGGTTCAAAGCCAGCCCGGGCAGGAGAGACCATGAGACTCCTATCTCCAATAAACCACCAGAAAAAAACCGGAAGTGGCGCTGTAGCTCAAGTGGTAGAGCACTCACCTTGAGCTGAAGAGGTAAAGAACAGCGCCCAGGCCCAGAGTTCAAGCCCCACGGCCGACCAAAAAAAAAAAAAATTCCTAGCTCCTCTAACTGGGTGTCTTGGAGTCTTTTTTTGGGTTCGGGATATTATAAGTATCTGTTCATTTTTGTGGTGCTAGGGAAGGAATCCAGGGCCTAGCACATGATGGCTTAATGCTCTACTACTGAACTACACTCTTAGTTCCAACCTCTCCTTTTTTTATTTTTATTTTTTATTGTGAAAATACCGAACAGAGGAGTTACAATTACATGGGCAAGATAATGAATACATTTCTTTTTTTTTTTTTTTTCTTTTTCTTTTTGGTCAAGTCGTGGTACTTGAACTCTGGGCCTGGGTGCTGTCCCTCAGCTCTTCAGCTCAAGGCTAGCGCTCTACCACTTGAGCCACAGAGCCACTTCCGGTTTTTTTCTTCTGCTTATGTGGTGCTGAGGAATCGAACCCAGGGCCTCATGCATGCAAGGCAATCGCTCTATCACTGAGCCACCTTCCCAGCCCATGAGTACATTTCTTATCAAGCATTGTTGCCTCCTCCTTTGTTTCCCCTTCCCATCTGACCCCCCTCCCACCTCCCCCACCACTATCGCCCCCCTGCGCCAAAGATGTGTAGTTCATTTTCGACATAACGTCTTGTACATCTCATTGTTGCAATGGGTCCATCTGTATCACTATTTAAACAATTTGTTTTTTCCCTTCCCCTCCACAAATTACACTAACATCAAATACAGTGAAAACAGTGGTTATACCATGGGGGAGGGGCATACAAAGCAACAAAGAAATCATCTTATAACTCCACATAGAGCTCCCCTATGACCCAGCAATCCCACTTTTGGGTATTTACCCAAATGATCACAAACAAGACCATACTGAGGCTACCAGCACAACTATGTTTATTGCAGCATTATTTACCATAGCTAAGTATTGGAAGCAACCCAGATGCCTCTCAGTAGATGAATGGATCAAGAAAATGTGGGATATATACACAATGGAATTCTATGCCTCCATCAGAAAGAATGATATTGCCCCATTTGTTAAGAAATAGAAAGACTTGGAAAAACATATTAAGTGAAGTAAGCCAGGCCCAAAGAAACCTAGGTCCCATGGTTTCCCTTATTTGCAATAACTAGTATATGTCTGAGACAAGCAGAAATGGTCAGATAAGTTGATGTTAAGCGAAATGAACCAAGGACTTAAATGTTTTTTCTTTCTTGCTTTTGTGTCTCTCCTTTTTTTTTGTTTTTAAATTAATAGTTGTTGCTTAAAAATATTGTGGGATGGGGCTGGGAAGGTGGATCAGTGGTAGAGTGCTTGCCTTGCATGCTTGAGGCCCTGGGTTCGATTCCTCAGCACCACATAAGCAAAAAGAAAACAGCCGGAAGTGGCGCTGTGGCTCAAGTGGTAGAGCACTAGCCTTGAGCCGAAGAGCTGAGGGACAGCGCCCAGGCCCAGAGTTCAGGCCCCACCACCGGACCCAAAAAAAAAAATATATATATTGTGGGTGCCAGGCGCTGGTGGCTCACGCCTGTAATCCTAGCTACTCAGGAGGCTGAGATCTGAGGATCACGGTTCAAAGCCAGCCCTGGCAGGAAAGTCCATGAGACGCTTATCTCCAATTAATCACCAGAAAGAAAACCCGAAAGTGATGCTGTGGCTCAAGTGATAGAGCACTCACCTTGAGCTGAAGAGCTCAGGGACAGCAACTAGGCCCAGAGCTCAAGCCCCATGACCACCACCACCACCACCAACAACAACAAAAAGCCTCAGGACATGAGTGTGTTTCTCCATAGCCAGTGATTGTGAGAGCCAAGGATGAAGCTATACAGGTTTCTGTAGGAGTCTAACATGTTTCAGTGAACAGAAACCTACAAGCTCATGAATATCAGACTCTTGGGATTTGGATGTTCAAATTGCCCCGTTTGTTTTCCTGTGTATCTGTTTGGACCCCTGGTTATAGGTATGTATGTATCTTTCATTCTCAGTTGATTTATTTGGGTCAAGACCCATACATTTTGTTGGTTTGGCTCTTTTTTTGGGGGGGGGAGGGGTCCGGTCGTGGGGCCTGAACTCTGGGCCTGGGCGCTATCCCTCAGCTCTTCAGCTCAGGGCTAGTGCTCTACCATTTGAGCCATAGCACTTCTGGCTTTTTTTTTCTGCTTATGTGGTGCTGAGGAATCAAACCCAGGACCACATGCATGCAAGGCAAGCACTCTACCACTGAGCCACCTTCCCAGCCCCCTGGTTTGGCTCTTGTCATTTAATCTCTAGATTCGTGTTCTTTGATTTTGCAATCCTCCTAGCTGCGCCTCCCAAGTGCTAGGGTTCCAAGTGTGTACCACTATTTAGTGTATTTGTGCCTTTGTCATTTTTTCTTCTTTTGGTACCAGTTTTGGCCTTGAACACAGGGCCTGGGTGCTGTCCCTGAGCTTTTTTGCTCAAAGCTACTGCTCTACCACTTTAGCCATAGCTCCACGTCTGGAAGTCCCATGGACTTTCCCGCCCAGGCTGGCTGAAAGTGTAATCCTCAGATCTTAGCCTTCTGAGTAGTATCACCCAGCTCCACTGTCTTCCTTCTTGATAACTTCACCTTTGAGATCTGGTTCACATTTCAGTATCTTTTTCCTGACCCCACCAGGCCAGGCTGCATCTCTGTGATCTTCCCACCCACTCGTTTACTCTGTTCTAACATTTACTGTCTACAGGCAACTCTCCTACTTTGCTAGTGGAGAATAATTAGCAAGCAAGAAGTTTTAGCCACATTGTCCATGGACATCCCATGTGATCACTGCAGTGGGAGAGCATGCCCTTTCCATTGTGGTGATATTCCACATGCACAGCCCATCTCTCTCCCTCCCGTGGTGCAGGCCTCCAGGTCCATCAGGCACAGACCCAGCCATTGTCCATTGTCTTGTTTCATTGATAATTGGTAAGAAAACAGACCATATCTGTGCTCACTCTTATATAATGGTTAGAGTTGGGGGGAGGGCAGGGTATTTGCTAAAACCTCTTCATTTTTCCCTGTCCACCTTCCCGTCAGTATGCAGGTCAGGAAAGGAAAGGATGATGTCCTTGTAAGTTTACATATGATAAAGCAGCCTGCACTACACTGGGCTCATTGAGCTATGACAAGATTTTCAGCTATGACAGGTTATCCTATGGATAATCTGCTACATAGGTAGCAATGAACAGGTAGCCCAGAGACAAAGGCCTTGCTTCTTGCTGTGAATTGATCATATATAACTACCACCCTCTTCTTAGGCTATTGGGGATATTAGAATTCCTCAAGGGGCTGGAAAGGTGGCTCAGTGGTAGAGTGCTTGCCTTGCATGCATAAGGCCCTGGGTTTGATTCCTCAGCACCACATAAGCAGAAAAAGGCAAAAGTAGCGCTGTGACTCAAGTGGTAGCAGGCTAGTCTTGAGCTGAAGAGCTGAAGGACAGAGCCCAGGCCCAGACGTCAGGCCCCAGAACCAACAAAAAAAAAAATTAAAAAAAAATTGCCTAAGCAAGTGTGTCACTGTAAGTACTTGAAATACAGTGTGCCCTGTGCTGCCCTCAGCTCAAGATTTAAGTATTCTGCCTTTCCTTGAAGTCAATGAGCTCCAAGTTTGGGAGAGTGGCTACTCCCATCTGGGATGGACATGCATATATGGACTCCTGACAGGTCACCTGTAACATGATAAACAGAGGAGAGCAGCAAATCCTAACAGGTCTGTGTCCAATGACCCTAGCATCCGGAGGGCAATGTGCCACAGCTCAACGAGCCCAGTGTACTTCAGGCTGGTTTATCATGTGTAAACATACAAGGACAAAGGGTTTTTATTCATCAGGCATGTGGTACAGAGCCTGGCCATAGTTGAAACACAGGTACTTGCAAAAACGAGTCCCGGCCTCTCCCCCCCACACACACCATTTTCATTACCCAATTCCAAAGCTGACCAGAAAAAGTGAACTACCACAGAATACCCTCAGCAAAGTGGGGGCGGACAGACTGGGGGCTCCAGAGAGGAAGGCCTAAGTGGGGCTCTTGTTTCTATCCGCTTCTATAGCAGACAATCCTGTCACACCCAGCCTCCCACCAGCAAGCAGTCCCCAAGCTCTCGAGTCCTGCATCTAATGCCCTTGATTCAACACACACAAACACCAGGAGAGGTTAAGGAATTTTCTTTATTTTTTACAAATTAAGACTATGTAGATATATATTTTTGAATCAAAAACACCTTTGTCTTCACAGTATGAGTTAAGAGAATGCAGCCTGAGCCGAAAAACCAAGAACTAGAAAAGAAACTGGAAATTACAGATAATTGTATTAAAAACCTGTTAGGCATTTTCTTTAAAAGTAATTATTTTTTTTTTAATATTCTTGTCATTCTTGGCACTGTTTCTAAAGAAAAACTCCTTTATCCCAAGCAAAAAAGCACAAGAGGTGGAGTTTGGCTTCAACAGGTCTGAGAATCGCCATTTTTATGGAGAGTTGCTGATGAGGGCTTTTTACAGGAAGGAAGTCCCTTTTGTAAGTTCTCAAGCAAGAGGCCGGAGGCAGCAGCTAAATCAAAGGGCAGCATCCTCAGTAAAAGCAAGCCATTATGAGTGGCCTGTCACTCCAGAAGTTTCGTGAGATGGCATCGTGACATGGAGCACTGTAAACCAGCACAGCCCCAAATAGTGTCCTACTAATGATGAGCTTTCCACGGCACAGTCACCTGGCACCGAAACCATACAGCCAGGGCCATGACTGTGCCTGATGCTGCCCTTCTGTGCCACCCAACTCTGGCAGCCCACAAGGAGGACCTAGTGATGGCTATTAGGACTCCCACCCATGTTTGCAACAAGAGCTGCATCTTTGCAGCACTGGCCACCTGGCTTCTGCCCTGAAGACCACAAGAACAAAGACTAAAGTGCATCTGTAAAATGACCATTTATCTACTGCCCCAAGTCTCTGGCCTGACAACTCTCTAATAGTGTCCAGGTGGAGTTAGACAAAAATACACTGAAGGGCTACGATGGTTGTCTTCCAAGTCACCAGGGGCCCGCTTACCAATCCTACAAGGAACCCCTGGGGTTGGTGGAGATTTGTCCCCCACTATACCAAGCAGTCCTTGCCTAGGCTCATCTGGCAGGATTCATTACAATGAACCCTAGAGGTTCAACTGCTCCCCTTCCCTAGCCTTCCTCTTTGGGGCCTTTAATCATAGCTACCTGATAGAGGTCATGCAGTAATGAAGATAATAACCAATTTTCAAAGCCAATTTAAAAAACAATACAAATACCAAGGAAAACTTGGGAGAATTCTGGGCTACGCGTACCTTGCCATTCATGCTCAGCCTTTTCCTAAATGCCTCACAAGGATTCATCTTTGTGCTCAAGTCCTCCCACCCCATGGATGGAAAGCTGACGGAGTCCCTGAGGGCCAGGCAGGGGTGGGAAAGGGAATACACCCAAGTCTACATTCCCTTCATGATCACAAGGCAGAGGTGCTTGCCAGACCAGCTCAGACAGCACAGAGGACACAAAGCACCCAATCAGACTTTCTGCTTTCTTTGTAGGGTTGACAGATCAGATCTGATGAATCTGAGTTAGTCACAGGACTAGCAACCTTCTTCACAATGGAAAACAAACTGCCCAGTCCCACAGGAACTGTGCACAGAACAAGCAATGCTGAAGACGGATGGGCTGAGGCATCTCTATCAACCAGTCCTGGTCCACTTGCTGAGCCTCAGTGAGACGGCAGACTTCCTGCAGTTTGTTCTCTTGGCTGACCCCAAGTCCTCATTTTGGTGGCCTGGCTGCCTGGGCAGAGCAAGAGGCTACTGATGGGCTGACAAAAAAGGGAATAAGGAAGAACCCCAGGAATAGGAAGCCAAACTCCAAACTATATTCTGCTAATCAGTTTTTTTTTTTTTTTGGTCAAAAAAAAAAAACAAAAACAAAAACCTCAAAATAGAGAAAACCACAAAGTACAAAAGCTTTTCTGATGCTTTTCATTATCATAGAACACGCCACCTGTGATGTGTGCAAAGAGGAAATGAGGGGGAGAGGGAGAGGAGGTCAAACTGGGAGAGGCTGGATTGTCATCTCACTTCTTCTCTTTCTTCTTGTCCTGTAAGGGGGGGAAAAAAAATCACAATTAATTTTTAACACCAGACATCCAATCTCAAACTCAAGTGGCCTTTAGTCAAGAGCTAGAAGGGATGTGGGAAAAAACAAGGAACAAGAAATCAGAAATCTCAAAGCATCTGCCCCTAGGCCTGCTTCTCAGACTGCCTTGCCACCCCACCCCTGCAGTGCCTGAGTGGGCTGCCTGATCACACCGGGCAACTCCTGATCACCACAGTCCCGATCCTAGCCAGAGAAGGCTGTGAACTAGTGCTCTATCCTAAATGAGGGAAACTAAGGCCATCAACAAGGTGGAGCCTAAGAGAGAGCTCCACTCTGGAGAGGGAGTGTGAATTCTGTATATAAAGAGGATACTGAGATAATCTAGTTTAGTTCTTCCAAAAAATAAAAAAAATTAAAACTAAGCTCGGTGCCAGTGGCTCACAATACTGTAGTAATCCTAGCTACTCAGGAGGCTGAGATCTGAAGATCACGGTTTGAAGCCAGCCTGGGCAGGAAAGTCCAAGAGACTCTTATTGCCAATAACCTACTCAAAAAAAAAAAAAAAAAAAAAACAGAAGTGAAAGTGTGGCTCAAGTGGTAGAACAATAGCTTTGAGTAAAAAAAAAAAAAAAAACAGCTCAGAGAGAGGGCTTAGGCCCTGAGTTCAAGCCCCAGGACTGGCAACAAAACAAGCAAACGGGCTGGGAAGGTAGCTCAGTGGTAGAGAGCTTGCCTTGCATGCCTGAGGCCCTGGGTTCAATTCCTCAGCACCACATAAGCAAAAAGAAAAAAGCCGGAAGTGACACTGTGGCTCAAGTGGTAGAGCGCTAGCCTTGAGCTGAAGAGCTGAGGGACAGAGCCCAGGCCCAGAGTTCAGGCCCCACGACCAGACCAAAAACAAACAAACAAACAAGCAAACAAACTAAAACTAGTCTACTTGTGAAATATGTAAGATACATTTTAATTTTCTTTTTCCAAGTCATAGCTACCTTACAAGCACTGAAGCTCTTTTCCTTTTGATACTAGTTTTTGAGATTAGTTAAGAAAAAAAAAAAGGGAGAGAGAGCTTTTACTTGCTCCTTTTTCTCCATCAGCTGAAGCTTCTGGTTTACCTCTTGCTCACTGGCCTGCATTACACTATAATGAGTATCTGAATAACATGGCAAATCTGAAGCATACACAGATGCTGACCAGAAGCCATCCTTCCACCTGTGGGGTGTAGGCTGACTGACCTTCTCATTCATAGCCAAGATCATCATGAGTTTTCGGAAGAGAGTAACAAAATCTAAGAAGAGATCAACGCAGTGCCTGAAAGAGAAGAACAAGGTTACCAGTGGCCCTTCCCACTTTCTTTATCTATAAACTCAGTACATAAGTCAGCTTCTTCAACACCACCCCAACTGAGGAAGTAAAAAAAACTAGGGAAGAGTGGGGTGATCTGGGATCCTATTCAACTCAATGGAGCCACATGGCACAAAGAGATTGGGTTTTGGATTGTGCAGAGGCCCAAATTTGAATCTTGAACTACCACTGCTATTATTTATGGAGACTTTAAAACTACTTAACAACTATGCCCATCTTTTCTCTGTTAAAGGTTTAAAGATTACAAAAAGTATACCAAGTCAGGTGCCAGTGGTTCATGCCTGTGATCCTAGCTATGAGGAAGCTGAGATCATGGTTCAAAGCCAGCCCAGGCAGGAAAATCCATAAGATTCTAATCTCCAATCAACCATCAAAAATTTAAGAAGCCAGAAGTGGAGCTGTAGCTCAAGTGTTAGAGTACTAGCCTTGAGCAACAAAGTTCAGAGACAGTGCCTAAGCCTTGAGTTTAAGCCCTAGGACTGGTGTGTGTGTGCATACAAACACACATATATATACAGAGTAAAAGGAGAAAGACTTCTTTCCCTTTCTCCTGCCTGGAGGTGGCTACTATTAAAACTACAAAGGGCCAGGTGCTAGTGGCTCACAACTCTGTTCAATACAATAGGTAAGGGAGACCTCAAGGTCCTTGAGTTCAAGTCCCAATACTGGAACACGTGCACACACATACACATATAAAGGGATAAGGATGTAGTTCCATGATACAGTACCTGCCTAGCATATATGAGGTCTGGATTTGATCCCAAGTACCACCAAAATTAAAAATAAAAAGAATGTACATTAATCTAGTTTTTAAAAATTAAGTACCTTTTGGGAACTGAGAGACTCTGCTATTGGGACAAACAGCTCCAAAAGCTTGCAGCTATATGCACTCCTGAAGCCTGGTTACCTAAGTTCCACTGTGGACTGGAATGGGATGTTTCAATCTTTATTCTCAGTGCAGACCAGTTCCCACACTCACCAGATGTAATCCTTATCTCCATTTTCAGCCTTTTCAATAATGAGTTGAGTATCAAAAAGGACAAAGCCACACATGACGACCAGTCCCATATACAGGTTTGCCTAAAGAAAGAAAAATGATATTAAAATATAGTAATTAAGTAGATAAAATATAGTAATTAAAGTAGAGGGAACAAGCAGCCCTAGTTTCTGGCTTTTGGCCATCAAAAATGCTAACCTAAGGCACAATTCTGCTGTCATTCTTTTAGGTTACTGGAAAAGCTTCCATAGTACATATATCAAGCCCTTGCTGGGTGGCCTTAGATAAATGGTCTCTAAGTAACACTTCTCCTTAGCAATGCCCAACCATTACACCCTTTAAGGATTTGGAGGGATGGCCTAAAGGGCACTGCCTATCTTGGAAGAAGCGTAGTTAACCTGTTGCTTGAGGGTTAAGAGAGAAAAAAAAAAAAAAAGCATGAATCAAATGGCTGCAGAAAAAAAATTAAATCTTACCTGGAAAAGCCAAATAGATCCAAAGAAAAGGTTCCCCAGGGAAGACAAAACCATCAGGCTCATGGCTGACATCAAAATACCTATTAAGACAGGGCAAAAAGTTATCTCGAGAGAAGCCAACAAATCAGTCCCATTATGGCCACTTTTTAGTTTCCTCCAAAATGAAGACTTTTTAACAGTCAACCAGGGAGCTGAGGTAGAGGAGTCCTAGTAAGAATTCTGGCTAGAACACGGCCTCACCAAGATACCTGTGTCCAACTCCACACTTACCTCCCAGAAAGAGGTAGCTCCGGCGCCTTGCATAGAGAGCACTCAGGGTGAAGCAGGTGAAGATCATGGCGGTGCCCATGAAGGCAGTAGGAAGGATGCTGTTCAAGAAATATTCCATTAGCTTCAGGGCTCCAAGAATGTGGCCCATACTTAGAAAGTAAACTCATCAACAATTAAAAGGACATAAAGACTAAAACAGTTACCTGGGATTAATAGCAATGCACAACTCCAGAGCAGGGCCCAGGCCAACTCCTAGAAAACAAGAAAAACCCAGAACACAATTATCCAGTCTTACCAGTCAGTTCTGGAAGAGGACCCTCACATACAAAAGCTGATCATGAGTAGCATAGGCATTCATGCTCCAAAAACAGGTATGTAAAGCTAAAGTAATTCTCTTTCCTCTCTCTTCCTTATTTTCAAGACTATATATACTCCAGTTACTTGTAGACATACCCACAAAATTGCTCTTTTAGTTCAAATCATAAGTGATCATGGGGGGTGTGGGAAGTGAAGCAGGCAGGTGAAATATTTTTGAGCTAGAGTAATGCGAGACTATAATGTGGACTGAATCAGGAGTTAGAGCAACAAGGCAGAACAGGGCCTGGTAGCCAGCAACCTTGCAAGTCATGCAGTCTGACTTCACTGGGAACAAAGAAAGGTCGGACAGGTTCTGCAGGTAGACACCAGCCAATAGGAGAGCAACTTGTTCCAGCCCAACATTTCTTCTGTCCTGGCTCTTTCCTCTCCTGATAATTCACCTCTTCATGCCTTTGAAAACTAAATCTTAATCTGTAAATCCCTTTCTTTCTAAAAGTTCCTCAATACAGTACAGATTATACCTGTCACTCAGAACAAGTTGTACATCAGTAGGCTTGCTTTGCTATTATTTTTATTATGTGGCTTCAGTCCTGCTTCCTTTAATGATGATTCTAGAAAAGCTGCACTTTGAATTCTTTCCTGAGAGTCAGCGAATTGTCCTGTGTGGCAGATGTCAATGTGTGGCTTTAACTGTTGGCCAGGCTCAGAGCAGATGCCTGTGCAAGCAGATGGACCAGTGTGGGTCCAACTAAGCCAGGCCCTAAACCTAGTTCTCATATCTATCATTTAGCAAGTCATAAAGCTCATTCATTTGAGCACACAGTAACTATTTTTAGATCCAAAAGTAGGAGTCACAGCTGACAGTCACAAAGAAAATGCAGTACAATGCAAAAGATATTCAAATACAAGTATGACTAGACCCTGCAGCCCTAGAGGAGCCCAGAAGGGAAAAATCACAACAGTAATATACTTCAGGGAAGACTCCACGAAGAAGTCTTCTAAGGAACAGACAGACAACAAAATATGCAAGTTGGTGGTTAACTAGAAAAAAAATCTCAGGTTTTAGTTTTAAGAAATACTGAAACTGGGAGCTGGGAAGGTGGCTCAGTGGTAGAGCGCTTGCCTTGCATGCCTGAGGCCCTGGGTTCGATTCCTCAGCACCACATAAGCAAAAAGAAAAAAGCCAGAAGTGGCGCTGTGGCTCAAGTGGTAGAGCGCTAGCCTTGAGCTGCTGAGGGACCCAGAGTTCAGGCCCCACGACTGGACCAAAAAAAAAAGAGAAAGAAATACTGAAATTGTAGCACTATCCACCCCTTCACCCCAATTAGACCAATTCCTTAGCATACCTGTAAGGAAAGCAAATCCAGCAAGAAGTCCCAGTCTCTTCTGCTCAGTTTCATGGCTATGAGGTGTTGCCATCAGCCAAATCATCAACCCCAGGGAGCCCAAGGCAGAGAGCAGGCCAGCCTGTCAGATCCAATCAATAAATAAATATTTCAGGGTTTCACACTGTGGTAGGAGACTTTACGAGGTTCAAATACTTATCTAAAATTCCTAGTATTTGTAGCCAGATGCCGGTGGCTCACGCCTGTAATCCTAGCTACTCAGAAGGCTGAGATCTGAGGATCGCAGTTCAAAGCCAGCCCGGTCAAGAAAATCCGAGAGACTTATCTCCAATAAACCACTAGAAAACTGGAAGTGGTGCTGTGGCTCAAGTGGTAGAGTGCTCGCCTTGAGCTAAAGAGCACAGGGACAGCACCCAAGCCCAGAGTTCAAGCCCCACGACTGACCAAAAAAAAGAAAAAAAAAAATCCTAGTATTTGTGTCTAACCTGAAGGCAAGGAAAAAGGCACTGTTGTCTCAACTGTAGGGAGGGAAATCAAGGCTCTAAAGATAAGGGAACGGAGCACAGTGGAAGTGGATGCTAAAGGTTCTTGGAGTTCCTTTATAGTCAATCATCTGCTGCATAACTGCTCAAGTCAAACTATGAATCAGTCTTGCCCAAGAAACAGAAAAGATGAGCCAAATTGACAAGTGCTTAAAAAGCACATTTCATCATGATGTAGAATAAAAAAAAAAAACAAAAAAAAACCAAGAGACTAGTAAATACCAATGAATGTTAACAGTGATGGGTAATGGAAGGTTTGTGTTTTTTGAGTATTTCTGTTGTTGGTTTTTCCTTCCCCAGACTGGGTCTTGCTTATGTAGCCCAGGCTCACCTGGAACTTGAGATTTCCTGTCTCTGCTTCCCAAATAGGATTATAAGAGTATACTACTCCACCCAGCTTTGGAGGTTTTTAAAAATCACATTCTTCTTATAAGTCATGTTTCTGAATTCTTTGTACAATAGACATTTACTAATTTTGTAACAAGTTCTTTTTCTTTCTTTCTTTCTTTCTTTCCTTTTTTTTGTTGGTCGTGGGGGTTGAACTCTGGGCCTGGACACTGTCCTTGTGCTCTTCAACTCAAGGCTAGCACTCTACCAATTGAGCCACAGCACCACTTCCAGTTTTCTAGTGGTTTATTAGAGATAAGAGTCTCATGGACTTTCCTGCCTGGGCTGGCTTTGAACTGCGATCCTCAGATCTTAGCCTCCTGAGTAGCTAGAATTACAGGCATGAGCCACTGGCGCCTGGCTCTTTTTTTTTTTTTTAAAGGGAGAAGCTATAGGCATTAGAAAAAAAGGAAAATAATCAAGAATAGATATACACATGAAGTTCCTGTTTTCCTTTAAAGATATAGTTAACATATGGCTGGCATTGGTGGCTCATGCCTATAATCCTAGCTATTCCCAGGCTAAGATCTGAGGATTGTGATTTGAAGTCAGCCTGGAAGAGAAAATCCATGAGACTCTTACCTCCAATTAACCATCAAAAAACTGGAAGTAATTACATTCAAAATGTACTTAACATCATTATTTTTAATGTATCTTGTAAACAAATGCATTTGGACTCCATTTCATTGCTATCACTTCATTGCAATTTTTATTGTGAAGAATTATATTCAAAATGTATTAACATCATTACTGTTAATGTATATTATAAACATGCATTTCACATGTAAATAATATGTGGACTGTTATTTACTTACCTATCAAGTTGTAAAATTAAATAGTAATATGTAAAAAAAAACAAAAAACTGGAAGTAGAGCTATGGCTCAAGTGCTAGCTTTGAACACAAAAGCTCAGGACAGTACCCAAAGCCCTGAGTTCAAGCCCTAGGACAGACAAAATAAAAAAAATAAAGAAAAAGACATAGCCAATTCAAAGTAATCATGCTAAAATGCTAAAATGGACAGTGAATTAGTGAATTTTGAGTCACTGCTCCTGAAGGAAATACAGAGTTCGTTTCCTACAAGCTTCTGGTCACATTTTCATGAAACAATACAGTAATCTTATTTCATGTGGTTCTGTTTAAGGATACCTTAATGTGTCATACATTGTTGACTTATTAAATTCACAGCCAACAGCACTATAGCTGATATCTGAACAAGCATTATCTATTTTCTCCCTAAGATACTGCAATTAGTAATGTAATGGGCAGCACTTCCTCCCATGATCTTTGAATTTCAAACTGCAAAATCAGTAACAAAAACACACAAAAAAGGCTGAGGAGCCAGGCACTGGTGGTTCACGCCTATAATCCTAGCTATTCAGGAGGCTGAGGTCTGAGGATCTCAGTTCAAAGCCAGCCCAGGCAGCAAAGTCCATGAGACTCTTATTCAATGAACCATCAGAAAACCAGAAGTAGCGTTGTAGCTCAAAGACATTTGAGTGAAATATGAAGGCAGAGTGTCATCATTCCTGACCTACAATAAGAAGCTAGCACCACATATTTTGAACAAAGTTTTTACCTCGCCGTTCCTATCTGCAAAAAGTAACAGGATTAGGGCTGGGAAAGTGGCTCAGTGGTAGACTGCTTGCCTTGCATGCATGAGGCCCTGGGTTTGATTCCTCAGCACCACATAAGCAGAAAAAGCCAGAAGTGACCCTGTGGCTCAGCCTTGAGCTGAAGGACAGTGCCCAGGCCCAGAGCTCAGGCCCCACAACAGAGTTAAAAAAAAAAAGAAAAAAAAGGTAGTAGGATTTTGCAGTTGCAAATGTTAGCAAGCAGGTGAACTCCTAAATACAAAATCTGGGAATAATGAGAACTGATTGCATTTTTACTATATGAATGTTTAAAAAAAGTAGACCAAAACAACACAACTAGAAACAAGAGGAAAAAACCTTGCCTTTAACTCAAGGATCAAAGTCCTGTTTTGAATATGTAATTTTTCATACAACCCTTAGTAGGATTTACCTGAAGGACAGTTTTCTGCCATTGCAAATGTGAGGCACAAATACAGAGTCATATTTATGATTTAGTGAGAGCCTCAAGGTTTTTGGTTAGTTGTCAAACTCTGCCTTCTACTGATGGCCAGCACTAAAATAAGTCTACCTCAGGACAAAAGGTATCTCTCAACCATTCAGTAGATCAGAGAGTAAAATAGGTCAAATTTGTAAAGGTCTCAATCTTACTTCTCCCAATAATTAACAGTACAATTGATGTTTTGTCTCCCAATTCTCACTATTCCACAGTCATTTAGGTAACAAAGAACAAGAAAAAGACAGATCGGTGACCAATGCAGAGAAAGCCCCACACATGGCGTTTCTCCTAGGCTCTGTGTATCTTCCAAGTCAGCAGCACACCATCCAAAGCCAAGGTTAACATATTGTTTTCAGTATGCAGAGGGGCAGTTGCCAGAACACTTAACCAGCTCTACATATCTTGATTTAATGGTGGACAGAGTTCAGATCTCAAATTACTGATAAGGATTAAGGAGGGGCTCAGGAATGGACCATCCTGTTGAGCTGGTTTTCCTTCTATGCAGTTTAGTATTACAACAACCAGTACTTACCTGGATGAAATGAGTGACCACATGAACATAGGCCCCCGCAGCCGCCACAAACATACAGAGGGCAAAACTGGCATAGACCTTCTTCAGGTGCTGCTGTGTTGAGGGAGTTCTAGGAAAGAACATAACAGCTATCAGTCTGGATCAATCTCATCTCCTCAGGGCCTCTTCTCAGGGGGATGTGTGATAGTTATAATAGTTGGACATATGTTGGGGAAAGCATTATTATAGTAAGAATCTTTAAAAATAGATTAACAGACTCTAATGCTTAGAAGACCCAAGAGCCCAATGTCTTGTATTCCCATTATACACACACTAGGATTAAAGACTTTCCAGTGATCATACAGCAACTCTCAGAAACTAAGCATTTTTTATCAGGTTTATCTGGAGTCTAGCCAATTTGTTAACTTATACATACAGAAGTTAATGAAGTGGGGGAAGGGAGGGAGAAGCCAAGAGAAGAAATGAAGGAACCAGAGTCAAGGTTAGTACACTTACATGTGGGAGAATTTTAAGAGTGCATCGAAGTTGATCTTCCGATCAAATACGTTCATGGTTCCAGAGTCAGTGTGACACAGTCTCCTCTCTATCTGATCAAGGGTAAAGAAAAGGTTAAAGACACCAAGACACATAAAAAGCACAAATAACTTTTTTTTTTTGTCAGTCATGCGGCTTGAACTCCGGGTCTGGACACTGTCCCTCAGCTCTTCAGCTGAAGGCTGGCATCCTACCACTTGAGCCACAGAGCCAGTGGTTTATTTCAGGAAAGTCTCACAGACTTTTCTGCCCGGGCTGGCTTTGAACTGAGGTCTTCAGATCTCAGCCTCCTGAGTAGCTAGGATTACAGGTGTGAGCTACAGGCACCCAGCTACAAATAACATTCTTATATACAATACTGACATTGTTCATTAGAATAATGAAGCTATCAACAAGACACTGTGGCTCACATCTGTAATCCTAGCTACTCCAGAGGCAGAGACCTGAGGATCACAGTTCAAAGCTAGCCCTGGCAGAGAAGTCCGTGAGACTTTTATCTCCAATTAACCACCAGAAAACTGAGGTGGAGGTGTGGCTCAAGTGGTAAAGCACTCGCTTTGAGCTGAAGAGCTCAGGGTCAGTGCCTAGCCCCAGAATTCAAGCCTCAAGACTGACCCAAAAAAAAACTACCACCAGGTGCTGGTGGCTCACTTCTATAATCCTATTCAGAAGGCTTGAGATCTGAAGATCAAGGTTCAAAGCCAGCCTGGGCAGAAAAATTCATGAGCCTCTTATCTCCATTAAACTACTCAGAAAGGGCTGGGAAGGTGGCTCAGTGATAGAGCACTTGCCTTGCATGCATGAGGCCCTGGGTTTGATTCCCCAGCACCACATAAGCAAAAAAAGGAAAAAAGCTGGAAGTGGCGCTGTGGCTCAAATGGTAGAGCACTAGCCTTGAGCTAAAGAGCTGAGGGACAGCACCCAGGCCCAGAGTTCAGGCCCCACAACCGGACCCAAAAGAAATAAAAAATTAAAAAAATAAACTACTCAGAAAAAGCAGAAAGTGGTAGAGTATTAGCCCTAAGTTCAGATACAGCAACCAAGGCTCTGAGTTCAAGCCCCAGGACTCGCGCACATACTCGCGCGCCGCGCGCGCGCACACACACACACAATCTCCCTACAATCGATTTCACTACCCCTCTCCAAATATTTTTTTTTGGGGGGGAGGGGGGGTCTGGTCATGGAGCCTAAACTCTGGGCCTGGGCGCTGTCCTTCAGCTCTTCAGCTCAAAGCTAGCACTCTACCACTTGAGCCACAGTGTCACTTCCGGCTCTTTTTTTTCCCTGCTTATGTGGTGCTGAGGAATCGAACCCAGGGCCTCATGCATGCAAGGCAAGCGCTCTACCACTGAACCACCTTCCCAGCCCAATATTTTCATTTTTATGTATGTACTTTTAGAATGCTTGCAATAACTGTTAATTATTTTAAAAAGAACTAAAAAATAAACCAATCTTCTCTCCCAAACAATTGTTACTAGCATTTGATGTCTATCCTTTTGGAAAGTCATTTGTCCTTTAAAAGAGTTTGTAGGAGAAATTCTCAATTAGCAGCCTAGTTAAAGGGATCCACTAGCATATAAAACCAATTTTAGGGCTGGGAAGGTGGCTCAGTGGTAAAATGCTTGCCTAGCATGCATGAGGCCCATGGTTCCATTCCTCAGCATCGCATAAGCAGAAAAAGCCAGAAGTGGTGCTGTGGCCTTGAGCTGAAGAGCTCAGGGGCAGCACCCAGGCCCAGAGTTCAAGGTTCAAGTCCCATGACAGACAAAAATAAATAAATAAATAAATATGCATAAGTTTCCTACTTAATACATATTTAAATTGAACTAAAGTTCACAATTTTAAACCTTTTTTTATTATAGCTATGAAAACTCATTTATGCAAAGACTTCCCTGTAGCCGGGCGCTGGTGGCTCACGCCTGTAATCCTAGCTACTCAGGAGGCTGAGATCTGAGGATTGCGGTTCAAAGCCAGCCCGGGCAGGAGAGACCCTGAGACTCCTATCTCCAATAAACCACCAGAAAACTGGAAGTGGCGCTGAAGCTCAAGTGGTACAGAGTGCTAGCCTTGAGCTGAAGAGCTGAGGGACAGCGCCCAGGCCCAGAGTTCAAGCCCCACGACCGACAAAAAAAAAAAAAAAAAAAAAAAAAGACTTCCCTGTATGTTTACCATCCTTTTAACATTCCCAATGTTATTATTTTACCGTACTTGCTTTAATTCCTTCCTCCCTGTCACCTCTCTGTTACCTCTTGCCCCTCTCTCTCTCTCTCTCTCTCATACACACACACACAGACACACACACACACACACACACATACAAACATACATACATACACCAACCTTAATCTGTAAAGACTTATCAAGAAACTAGCCAAAACACCAGTGGCTCATGTCTGTAATCATAGCTACTCAAGTGTCTGAAATGTGAGGATTGTTACAGTTTGAAGCCAGCCCAGGCAGGAAAGTCTGTGAGACTTATCTCCAACTAACCACCGAATATCTGAAAGTGGAGCTGTGGCTCCACTTGAGAGCCAGCCATAAACAAAAAAAAAATCTAAAGAGCCCTGGCCCAGAGCTCAAGCAAACACAAAAACAAAAAATGTGATGTCGTTTTCTTTTTTTCTTTCTCTTTGCAGTAACTCTAGGCACTTTTGCTTGTTCATCTAGTACCCTACCCTCAAGCCATACTTCCAGCCCTGTGTTTTGCTGGTTATTTTAGAGATGGAGTCTAGCAAACTTTTCTGTCCTGGCTGGCTCTGAACTGCAACCCTCCAGGTTTCAACCTTATAGGCATGAGCCACCAGCACTTGACTACAAAGCTATTTGGAGCCCTACAACTTTCTTCAGATTTTCCCCCAACAATTCTAGTATGCCAGAAAGGACATTTTAAAGCCGATCTATATTAAGGTTAAATCACATCAACACCAGAAAGTCACCTTTAGTCTTGCTCCCACTCCTATCATGCGTGCAGTCCTACACACATTCAATCCACAGAACTAAAGATCTGATTGAGAGCTTCCTTCTCTCCTAAATATAGATCCTCCAAATTCTTATTCAATAGATGATGCCTATCTCTTTCAAATCTACCAAAAAGGGGAGATGGTGGAGGGGTAGGATGGGCTTCAAACACAGACACAGAAGACAGTGGAACTACTCATGCCCATTTGAATCAGTAGACACCCCCAATGCTCGGCACAATTAAACTAGACCATGGATATTACTGTCCTGAAGTCAACCTCCTGAAGAACCCTGTGCAGATGGAATGATGCCACTCTTTAAGTTATAAGCATCACTGCCGTTAGTTTCTTGAGGCTCTCCTCCCCCAAAAACAGTCACAATAGCTGGCTGGCTTTCTCAAGAGTCCCTTCCTTTCCCTCACCAATAACCACACTCACCTCACTTCCTTTAGTTATGTTTAAGGCTGGATACAGTGAGGAGCTGCAGACCCTAGTGAAGTTGCTGCCCTGTCCTGTGAGTCACAGGGCTCTGGGCCCTCTTGATCTAGATGGTGCAATTATTGCAGGCTGTTGCAAGGTTTAGCACAGCCTTCCATAACCATGATAAATGATCCTCTAGGGAGCACACTTACAGGATGGCAGAATCCAGCACCTGGAAAGTGTCTTTGTTTAAGGCTTCCATTAACAACCTTAATGACATCCCTAGACAGAACTTACAACAATACTGAAGCAACCTGCAGAGCCAAGTTTCTCAGTGTTCACAAAAGCAATGCTAAAGTACCTCTTGCTTCCAATTTCAAGCATCAAAAGGAGGGGAGGGCTTCCAATGCCCAGAGGATTGTTAGTCAGAAAGGGGCAATATACATGTAACCAAACCATTCTGACAGGACAAAGGCAGAAACTCCTCTTTCCCAGTGGTTTACTGACTGCCTCTTTCTTGGGCCTGCTCTCTTGATGAAAAAAATGAAAACTATCAAAGGCTGTGTGAGTGAAGGGACATCGAAGTAATTACACCTTGATTTAGTAGTAGCTTAAGATCTGAAAGACTTTAAAACAACTTCCTTTTTGTTTTGGAGATGGGGTCCTACTTTTGCTATGTAGGCCAAGCTGGCCTTAAACTCATGATCCTTCTGCATCAGCCTCCTAAGTGTGTGATTATAAGGCATATGCTACCATGTCAGACTAAAGCTTTTCCATTTTTTTTTGCTATGTTTACCTATTCCAAAGTTTAAATAAATGGTGAATTAACTGTAAATGAACTACCAGATTTTAGAGATGCAAAAGTAGATGACAATTTTAATAGCAGTATAGAAAAATACAATAAATCATTCATTTAATGTTCAAGATACATTATTCAATTTATTTCAGAAATGTTAAAACTGGAAGGGAATGTAGACAAGTCTTAGAATCAGGAAACAATAGCTTGCTGTTCCAAAGAGACAAGAACTATCGTACATATATAAGTACTAAAATAAGTGTTCCTCGAGTTTTGCCAGATAGAATACATTTATCTGGTTTCTACCTTAGCCCCAGCTTGTTGTGCTCAGAAGCTGAACAAAAAACATAACCACACCTTTAATTTTCAAAGGCCAATATGCAAAACTCAGTAGGAACAAGATTAAATTGCATTTAGAACTCAAAAATAAAAACTTCCATACACCAAGAGCTTTTTAGTCCCAGGAACAGCTGGCTCTTAACATGGCTTGAAGTAATCAAAATGATTAACCAAGTAACTCAGCTTACATAACAGAAAAACCCACGATTAAATAACAAACTTTACTTAAAAAAAAATGCGGGCCGGGCTCTGGTGGCTCAAGCCTGTAATCCTAGCTACTCAGGAGGCTGAGATCTGAGGATCATGGTTCAAAGCCAGCCCGGGCAGGAGAGACCGTGAGACTCCTATCTCCAATAAACCACCAGAAAACCGGAAGTGGCGCTGTAGCTCAAGTGGTAGAGCGCTCGCCTTGAGCTGAAGAGCTGAGGGACAGCGCCCAGGCCCAGAGTTCAAGCCCCACGACCGACCAAAAAAAAAAAAAAAAAAAAAAAAAATGCGGGCTGGGAAGGTGGCTCAGTGGTAGAGCGCTTGCCTTGCATGCCTGAGGCCCTGGGTTCAATTCCTCAGCACCACATAAGCAAAAAGAAAAAAGCGGGGAGTGGGGCTGTGGCTCAAGTGGTAGAGCACTAGCCTTGAGCTGAAGAGCTGAGGGACAGCGCCCAGGCCCAGAGTTCAGGCCCCACGACTGGACCCAAAAAAAAAAAAAAAAAATGCTGGGCACCAGTGGCTCATGCCTATAATCCTAGCTGAAGTATGAGGATCATAGTTCAAAGCCAGCACAGGCAGGAAGGCCCTGAAAAGAAAATCCGTGAGACTCTTATCTCAAATTAACCACCAGAAAATCGGAAACCGTGCTGTGGCTAGCCTTGAGCAGAAAAAGCCCAGGGAAGGCACCCAGGCCCAGAGGTCAAGCCGCACAAGTGACAAAAAAAAAAAATATTTAAAAAAAGTTGAGACTTTAAAACAAAAACAAGGGCTGGGAAGGTGGCTCAGTGGTAGAGCGCTTGCCTTGCATGCATGAGGCCCTGGGTTCGATTCCTCAGCACCACATAAGCAAAAAAGCCGGAAGTGGCACTGTGGCTCAAGGGGTAGAGTGCTAGCCTTGAGCTGAAGAGCTGAGGGACAGCACCCAAGCCCAGAGTTCAGGTCCCACGATGGGCAAAAAAACAACAATAATAAACTCTAGAATTTAATTTCAACAAATCTAGTAAATTCAGTACAAATAAAATATCGAGTTATTCAAATCTATGTAAAACACTGTCACATATGTAGTAATTCTGAACAAATTCTGGCCTTTGCAAGATAGCCTGCTGAATACTAGAGCCAGAACAGAAGCTGCCACAGAGTAAACAATTTAAAATCAAACCCACAAGTCAAAGAAACACTGCTCATATTAAAATATTAGATTGAGACTGGGCACTGATGGCACATGTCTATAAACCTAGCTAGCCATGCAGGAGGCTGAGAGCTCAGGATCCCAGTTCATAGGCAAAGGCATGGCTCAAGTGGTGGAGCACTATCTGTGAGTGAAAAAGCCAAGTAAGAGCTTGATGCCCTGAGCTAGGCCCCAGCACAGGAACAAAAAAATAATAGTTTTAGATTAAGGGAGAAAAAATTGTTAGACTGTGAATTGCTTATATTAACCATCTTGTAATAATTTACATCCTGAACCCTGTCCTCACACATCAGAGGGGACCAAACTGATACTTAAGAAAAAAATTTTACCAGGCGCCGGTGGCTCACACCTGTAATCCTAGCTACTCAGGAGGCTGTGATCTGAGGATAGCAGTTCAAAGGCAGCCCGGGCAGGAAAGTCTGTGAGACCCTTATCTCCAATAAACCACCAGAAAACCGGAAGTGGTGCTATGGCTCAATTGATAGAGTCCTAGCCTTGAGGTGAAGAACTGAGGGACAGCACATAGACCCAGAGTTCAAGCCCCATGACCGGCCCCCCAAAAAATCTCAGCAGGGTGCCAGTGGCTCACACCAATCAATCACCAAAAAGCCAGAAGCAGAGCTGTGGCTAAAGTGGTACAGCACTAGCCTTGAGCTTGAGCACAGTAGCTCAGGGACAGTGCCTAGCCCCAGGACCAACACAAAATAAAAATAAAATTCCATATGGTTGGGGCTGGGAAGGTGGCTCAGTGATACAGTGCTTGCCTTGCATGCATGAGGCCCTGGGTT